GGGGGGGAGGGATGGGATAGGAGGGTCAAGATATGCTTAAAGCGAGGTATCAAAGGGTCTCACTTACTCTGATTTCAGGTATACATGGCAAAATTTTTGATAGATCGGGGGCTCACGTCCTAACATTCAAATTTAATTATTTGTCCCTGAATTGCAGAAAACCCCTATCTGCGGTGTCTATTGCTTATTAGCAGTTGTTTTAGTCGAGTGGAGTTTCTCCTTTCCTTTTAAAGTTTGAGAAAGAGAAATATCTAACACTTTAAGCATAGCCGCGATTGAATAAGTATAATAATGTATTGGATTAAAAGGTGCAAACGAATGCATAAATGAGACTGTCCTTTGTTGCTGTTTAGTCAATAATTTGTATTTTTTGGAGGAGAAATTGACAGCAATGTGGGTGGTTAATTACTTCCAATTAGTGGAGAAATGGATATGGACGTGCCTGAATTTTACAAGAACCTGTTCAGTGAACGGTTTTTTAAAGCATTACAAACATTGATCATCAGCAGCTCTTCTAAGTGGGTGAATGAATGTAGAAGTCAATCAAGAATTTAAATAACTATAGCAGAAATTTATAGAGTCTGCCATTCAAGACCTTGAATCCTCACTTATATATATATACATATATATATATATATCTTTTTCAAATATATACGTTATTTGCGGTTTACGCATTATTTTCAGATAAAGTAGCTTATCTTTAACCAAAGCGTTACAGGATAATTTAGACGGGAATAATTGCCAATATCTTAATGATGAAAGTAAAAACATCTCATTTTCCCTGAAATAGTTTCTAAAATGTACAAACGATTTTGAACAGAATTTATAATCGTTTTTTAGTATTTTTGAAACAATTTTACTAGTTAGAGATATTTGAATTGACTACTAGATTACAAATAAAACAATCATCAGTATTGAAAATTTCTAAAATTGAAGTGTTTTCAGAGTGGGTTGTTAATTTTTCTGAAAATAAGACATTTGGGCAATTTTTTCTATTGATTAGATTGTGGATAACGGCATTTACTTTAATAAAATTTAACAAACATTAAGAGATCAAATAGTTTAAATACCACTCTCCAAATTGAATTTGCTCGTCATCGTTTTTCCCATTTTTTTATTGTTCTATGAATCGATATTCAGGTCTCTCTGTCTTGGTCACGAGGACTGTGCCTTCGTGATGACAATGGACTCACTGGCTCGACTCACTAATCCAGACACACTGAAGCACTTGGTTCGAATGAATCGCAACGTCATCGCACCAATGCTAACAAGAATCGGCAAACTCTGGTCAAATTTCTGGGGCGATCTCAATAATAATGAATACTATGCTCAATCATCCGACTATGTTGACATCGTTAATTACAAGCAGACGTAAGTTTGTCATGTAATGTATGTGTGAGGAGTTATGCAAACGTGATAAGAGATCGATTTTTATCGGAGTAGGAATGGTGATGTGAGGGGTGCTAAGGTGCGTGTTTTTTTACATGCTATTCATTTTTGATCTCGATAACTTTTGGGGAAATATTACGATTAAGGTTTTAGCTTTAGGGCAGCTACAAAATGTCTGCCTTGCTTCGGAACACCCAACTTGATCGGGTGTCGATACGACGTAAAAATGCATGTCCCGCTTTTACGCCCTTCTAGCCAATATCTCAGCCAACTGAAGGAAAGCCCAATTTCCTGTTGATATAGTGAAAATCTTTTTCTAGTAAACATCAAACTGGGTACCGTATTGTGCACTTCATATTGGTTCACTTGCACACTTTGTGGGTTGGATTTTTTTAGTAATAATAATAATGTAATCTCACCTTGGCATCCTCAATCTTATGGCCATGACAATTTATTCGTTGTTCTTAGAAAATCAAGCTAGAATACCGAGCCAAGTTATTTTTATTGCATTACTTGTTCAGGGGAAATGGAGTACACTAGTCGTTTGTACTCATATGGGCACTGAAAACAGTTATGCATTAACGTTTTAAAAAACAACTGAATTTAGAACCTATGTTATTTGGCAGTCTTGTAAGGGTTCTTTTGGGAAGACTGCGCAAAATTGGCAAATAATGAGCATAAATGTGGAAAAACTCCTTTTGCTAGATCAATTATCTATCCCTTCCTATTAGAATGTAACCAAATTGTTATTCTCTTAATCAAAGTTCCCAGAACCTGTTACAGGATATGGGTTAGATATACGTGAAACCATCCTTATTTGTGCAGCATTTCAGACCTGTTAGTGTTAATTACCATCGAATTCTACTAATTTATGTGTCTACCTTCATTTCCGATTCCATTTTTCAGAGGTATTTGGAATGTGCCATTCTTGAGCAACTGCTACATGTTCTCCAGATGGGCCGCTCGCCAATTAGTAAACCACCTCCCTAAGGAGGATCCTTTTGCTGATATGGCAATCTCCAGACTAATTCGAGAAAAGGTACAGCTTCTACAAAACAGGAATTCCGACTAACATTAGCTGTGATGTTAAACAATAGTTGTGCTTTTCAGAATATTTTCCTCTTTGTTGACAACCAAGAATCCTTTGGTCACTTGGTCAATCCCGATACCTACAAATTGTTACATCTTCATAACGACCTCTGGCAAATCTTTGACAATCCTAGGGTAAGGAAAGAACGAGACTAAAAGTAAAACAAAAATATTTTCAAATGTTCAAATTATTTGGATTAATTAGAGCCGCAAAAACAGTAGTGGCAGTAAAAAGGTTTTGAGTTAAATTTTTAGCTAAGAATCGTTCAAGTAGTCTTGTTCACGATTTTCACTGATGAATGCAAAATAGTTCAAACACCCACTAGTGAATCATAAAGCGTGTTTTTTACAATGTGAAGGAAGTTATTGGAATTTTCGTGATGTGAGGGGATGAGAGACGATTCACAAAAATATCAGTAGTATATGCATTACTCGCATAGTGCAAATGCACGTACACGTGTCCAGCCTCCTACGTGGCAGCCACGTTGCACATACTGAATGGACCCTTTGCCTGCTTAGGGGGAAATTCGCCAGTTGGCAACTGCTTTGGAGTTTTGAGAGATAGTATCAACTGCTTGTCTAAAGGAGTCCTTCACCCAGATGTTGGCTGGTAATTTTGAATGCGAAAATTAAGTAAAACCAGTATACACTTATGGGGGGGGGGAGGGGTAATTCGAATGAGCCGAAGATTAGAAAGTGATTTGTAATTGAGAGGATTAATTCAATATGATAAAATAGGGAACCAGCCTTTAATTCGGTTCTGTACCGGCGGGGCAGTGACTAATGTACTCGTCTGGAAAGTCAGAGATTTTGGGAATGCCCAAAATGTCTCTTTCTCCTTTTCCGTCCTGTTTTGATTACTTGTTTCTTAAAGAGAGAGAAAACCCACTGTTTGTTTAAATTTGTGTTCCGCTTCTCTGCCGATTGATGTTTTTAAGCATTAGAAGCTATAAAGTAGGGTAGTTCAAAATCTTATTGATAATTTAGATGACAGAAGCATGGAGGGTTAGTTACAGTCAATACGGTTAGAGTGAAGTGGTAAGTTGGTTCATCAGCTTTTCATTCCATTGTGCGTCGGAATTGCAGCGGCTATCGTATTGGTTCGCGAAAGTAGAGCGCCTGGAATGATTAATTCCACTGGATAACTTCGAGTTCCTCCTAGGGAAGGAAGGTCTAAGTATTATTGTAGATTCTTGTTGGTTTAGACGAGTCACCTAGAGCAAATGACGTCTTTCAGTTGGTCTTCCCTCCCCCCTCTCAATTTACGATAAGTACCGAAGGTGTTTGGCTTTAAGGGTTGAAATTTACCTTCCACTTCCCATCCTTCAATGTCAACTCTTATTGACTGTTTCTATTGACAGATACTTGAATATCATTTTCTTCCATAGTTCTATAATGGTTAAGCTCATAACAAAGGCTACATTCCTAGACTGCAAATGGAAATCCACCTAAGAGGTTTTTCTGTTAAAGTAAAATACCCTATTCGAGTAGCCCAATTTATTACAATTTGAGCTGGTCCAAGCATATTTTAATCAAGAATAGTTCCTTTTTTGTTATATTGAAGTCATCTACTGACAATATTCCAGTTTCTGTTTCTCACATTCACAAATGCATCAATGCAAGAAAAAACCCAAGTCCAGTCTAAGTAGGTTTTATTTGGACACCTACGCCACCGGTACATAATCCAATTACAGTATTTTCAAATTTAATTTTGACATAACTTTCAGCACCTTTTCGATCTCCTCCTCTATTACCTCTTGGACTTTCCGTTAATCAAACGCAGTTGCTTGTCGCTATTATAATTTTTTATTACTGTGGGTAACAGTAATGATCACATTTAGCCTTGGGTAACGGACTCTCTGTTTTTGCTCCGAGGAATAGACATCTTATCAGAATGTTCCATTGTTGGTATTTCGATTATTGATTTTAATGGGGACATTTTCGAACTATTTGTTCACATATTTGTAATTGCTTCTCTTCTTTTTGTAGGACTGGGAGCAGAAGTACATTCACCCTGACTACTTCAAGTGCACCAATTATACATTGGCCGAATTTGAACAGCCCTGTCCCGATGTATTCTGGTTTCCACTGCTTTCAGAACGCTTCTGTAAGGACATTATTGAAGAGTTGGAAGTGGCCGCACAGTGGTCAACTGGGAGCAATATTGATCCCCGTTTAGAAGGTGGTTACGAGAATGTACCTACCATCGATACCCACATGAGACAAATTGACTGGGAACCACACTGGATGCGTGTATTGGAGAAATACGTCCGTCCAATTCAGAAGATTGTGTTTGAGGGATATGATGAAGCTGTAAGTTGATTATTGGGTTATCGGCTTTCTTCATTCTTTTAATGAGGCTAATGGAAAGCGATTCTCACCCGATGTCAAGTGTCCTCTTTTCGATTAATTGGTATATTTTTCTCAATTTTATAGCCGACTGCAAGAATGAACTTTGTGGTTCGTTATAAACCGGATGAGCAACACAGTTTGCGTCCACATCATGATGCTTCTACATACACTCTTAATATCGCATTGAACCGTCCGGGCTATGACTATCAGGTAGGTTTGTGGGAAGCAGTATGGAAAGATTTCCAGATTTGAAATGAAACAAAAATATTGATAAGTTTTTTTCGGTAGCAAATAACAAGCGATTTTGCTTGAAATTTGAATTATTTCTATACAGAGCCATGAACTAAGCATCCAAAGTGGATTGAATTTCGCTTACTTCTCCTTAGATATCGTTGTACCGATCAGAGCACTAACAACTGTAACGAATCTAAATTTTTTAAAAGAACTCTTAATGTACACTTTCGACTCAGCTTAAGCACTCAAAGGTGTTGGTTTGTATATCATGAGGTTATATTTTGCATTAAAATCCTATCTTCCGCCTCACACAGTTCAATGGGTATAAAGTCGCAAAGATAGTAGACGTGAAATATAGCTTTACACTCTGCTGTTATACCATTTTAGCACAAATTGACCCAATTCGGTGCCCCTTGGTGAAGTTCACAGGCATCATTAACTATATTAATCATATTAATTCGGCTTTCTCAGTAGAGGGTATTGATTTTAGCCTATTGTTCGGGCTATCATTCAAGTTCCGTTACCATAGTCAATTTTTAACAAGACTTATTGTATGCAATAACTTTTAATTAACTTTGATTTTCCTATATTTAGGGTGGTGGTGCACGTTTCTTGCGTTACAACTGCTCTGTTGTCAAATCACGACAAGGTTGGAGTCTTATCCATCCAGGCCGCCTGACACATATTCACGAGGGTCTCAGAACAACTCACGGTATTCGATATATCTTTGTCACCTTCGTCAATCCATAGAAAGGAACTCTATCTATTTGCTAGCCTCTCTCATTTTCACATTTTCTTAGTATCTTCAAATTTTAAACAATTTTCCTAAATTTAAACAAATTTGTTCATTAATTTTCTCTCTTGTACTTCCTGTGATGTGGGAAAGATGTCGGTTTCCTTCCTTTTTAAGTTGGGAATCAAATTTCATTGTGATTAACGGATTTTAATCCCACTTAAGACATGAGTAGTAAATTGAAAAAAAAATTGTAGGCTAGACACCAATATTCGCCTTGCTTAAAAGCTCGTCCGGTAAGTATGATCCAATGGGAGTTACCAAATTGGAGAAACTCGGACGGTGGTCGTAAATTTACACGAATCAAATTATCCAGAATGCATAGAGACGGCTGATGGAGGGATTGATTTTCAAAATCATTCGCTATGAGAGGATAAGCTATAACGATTTCTTCAGCTAGTTATGTCAAACGCGACTGCATCCTCGTTAGTAGATTCCTAAAGGATGCGTGCTCTTGGGTTGATAAATGGAAATTGTTGAGTCTGAAAATGTGGTAAGTAGTTGCAAGTAAAGAATTGAGCGCGTGGATGGTTCAATAAGAAGGAATAGGGGGACATGGTACTTAATTTAACAAATGGGGCAATTACTTAGATACGTAAAGGAATTAATTGTGCTTTGAAAGTGTTGTTTTCCTTCAAACAGCCCATATTGTGTTACATAGCCAGGTAACATACTCGAATAAGCCTATAGAGAACAAGTTTCGAGAACTAATGCAGATGCAGTTACTGTCATGCACCATGAAACATGCGGGCTGATCTATTTTATTAAATCACTTAATTCTACCATTTCTTTATCTATCGACTTATTAAATTCACTCGTGAAAATTCATCGTGGCACCATTAAAATTTGGAGTAACTGAGCGAGTAGAGAATTTTCAAATTCATACTCAGATATATTTATTACTGACTTATAGAAATGGTTTTCCTGGGGTTTCTTAGTCTGCGTAATTATTTTACATTTCATCCGTTAGTCGAAAAGCGGCAAGTTTTTAATCAATTGCCCCTAACTTGGACGTATCAGCATTCCTTAGAGGCAAAATAATTAGGAGTGGAGTTTGGAAGAAGAAAGTTAACCATATCACGCGTCTCACCAGACGTTGAAGATTTCTTTATGTCCAAAAGAAACGCTAAAATACACAGGTCACTAATTCACCACTTTGACCTCAGAGTGATGAGGAATATTATACTTGGATGATCAAATCAAAAATAGCTATTGGATACTCATATGATCATTCTTTAGTTGTGTTTTAAAAACGTCGTAGGAGAAGCAGCTTTCAACTAGTTAGTCTTAAAGAAGGTTCCACTTGTGGTAAGTGGGATAGCTTATTGAGCCCAAGGTTCGGGCTCTAAATTGAATTTGTAACTGATAAGAGCGAGTATTTAAAGGGAACTGTTATTCACCTTAGTATTGGCCCAACCAAATCTCTTTCAATCCTGCTAATCATTAATCAAGTGCAATAAAGTAGACGAGTCACTAGTGATTTGAAGATGATGGGCGATACGAAGGTTTCTTCAAAGGCATTTATGGCAATATCACCGACACTTTATAACACCATAAAAGCAAATATTAAGTATTCCCTTTGGACTGGTTTCATTGTTGGACAGGCCACGAAGATGAACGCACTATATCAGTATATCAGTCACAAATATGTCACTTAAGTCAAAAAATAAGATCTTAATGGCTTTTATGTTTATTAAAAACCAGATGTGGTAATTGATGGCCTTGGTACTCGCTGAAGTATAATTTTATTAACCCCTGACCTTTTTCACTGATATCATACGCATAAAATTCAAGGGGACCAAAGATTAGAAAAGATCTTAGTTTAGAAATGAACTGGGGCATAATGAGCTACAATAACAAACCAATGGCCAATGGACAAAATAGGGTTTCAATAAAGAACAATAACTGAGTGATACTATTGATGCAGCTTTCAATAGGCGAGAAATGAAAAGTGAGATGATCCTATGAAATCTAATATTTGCTGGAGTAGCGATTTCAACAATAGAGTATTGCATGGGGGGGGGTAAGTTGGATTCACCAAAATAGGCCTCAGGAAACTTGCTCTTTAACAACTACCCGAATGTTAATCCAATAAACTGAAAAATTTACAGAGAACATTGCTGGTTAATTTCATTATGAAAGATCGGAGAATGGGAAGGTACCAACAGCAGAAGAGAAAAATCATTCAAATCATCAAAATCAATTGGCTATATACAAATGAATATTGTTGGAGAGCATTTTCATAAATGTAAATCTAGGCTTTTAAAATGCATCACCAATAAAATCATAATATTTATTTATATCAAATGGCAGGCGTCTTGATGGTTATCATTAGCCCTTTAGTTGACTTCAGTCTTCACATAGGGGAAGGAACATCAAAGTGGGAAAAAAAGTCGAGAGG